ACAGTTTAATAAGATGTCATGTGGCTACATTGTCCTTTAGCTAGCGGTCTAGTTTGAAGAGCATTGAATGAGATTTAGCATTCTGATTTAGCATAGAGACGACCTGTCGAGTTTTTTTGTTTTTCCTAAAAAAGCACGGCTAATATCGAAAGCCACGTCAACTGTATGTTTCTTCAAATAAGATGCATCGGATAATGAAAAATAGGCCAGAGCAACATTTTCGAGCACCTCAATGGTCTAGCGGTTAACGGGTTCGATGCACGAGGTATCCATCGTTTTCATAGTTAATTTATGGTATGGTTTTGTTTGGTTATAAAATGAAACATAAGGTGAATTGGTGTTCATTTGATCCTTGATTGATTGAAGGAACAAGCAAGTTGGCCTCCAACTCCAGGAGCCCACAATTGAAAGAAGAGAGGTGGGTCCATATGTGGTTGAAAATCTCAATCCATGTGAGCTGTATGCTACTCTATGAGGCAGCAGATCGTGACCATTACAGCTAATTTCTTAGCCTTCCTAATCCCCAATTTATTGGCACGTCAACATTACAAAATAATCTGACCAAAAAAAAAAACATTACAAAATGATAAAATTTTAGTTCAATTAAAGAGACTTTATATTGAGCCCTTCAAAATGAGGAACCCATCTTTTTTCCCCCTCTTCTCTTTCAAATTTCCTTCTTGTTTCTCAAGCTCAAAGATTACTCATTAGTTTATTAAATTTTTTAATTCAAGTCTAGAATGATAATGGACTGGACTGGACCCTAGTCTAAACTTTCACTCCAGACCCACAAGTCCAGAAATTAGACCAAAACCAGAAAAAGAAATTTTCGTATAATCCAAGTGATGATGCTAGTAATGGAGTGTTTTTCGAATTCAATATTTTAAAACATCATTCGTTTCGCCATATATTTTGAAAAAAAAGGGCATGATTTTCTCTTAAGTCACGACATGTTCCTAAAAAGATGAAAAATGAGTTAATTGAGATACAAATCACCACGACCAATTTCAAACTCGAATTCTCTTGGAACACTGCAAAGTAAAATCTATAAATTTTAGTGCAAAAAGAGGGTATAAAAAGACAGATAAAGATACATAATTTCAGATCGGGTTAGGGTTTTCAGTTAACTAATATGCACATCCATTTCGCGCGAAAGGGGGTCCCGTATCTGTTCCAAAGAACGCATGTGTACTGGAGGGGAACTACCTAACGGGCTGTGCAATTCCTAATCCTAGAAAACTTGAATTGGAAGGTGAGGGAGGTTGGTGCTTCCAATCATGCATGGGGGCGGCAAGTGCATGCAAACTTTTTTGCTATTGCTTAGTTTATGAGACTCCTAACCAACCAAATCCCACTAAAAAGGTCAAGCCTCATCCCTTGTTCACTTTTGCCTTTTAATCCCCTTTCTTTCTCTTGCTCCCCCCGCCAAGTAATCCCCTCCGTTCCCATTTCTGAAAGTTGAAGTTTCGCATGCACTTTCATGGCATCAATCTTACTTGTGCACGGAGAGAGAGAAGAAGAAAGAGTCCAGCAGTTGTAATTAATCAATCGAGGGAGATTGGTCCCTAGTCGTAACCCGTCTTTCTTGTCGTGTCATAACACACGAATACTTAAAAAGTTTATCAATCACCGGGTGAGATTTATTCTTAATTGATCCAATGTCTGCCAATCCTTCGAGAAACGAATATTCATTGGACTAATGGAAGCTCCCTAATTGATCATAGAGGATGTTAACCCAATTCTTCACTGTTGGTCATCAATATATCTCCGACCCCACATTGCTCGCACCTAGGTTGTTGTCCCGATGGATACGTTTCTTGCGACTCTGAATTAGGAAGACGTGTTTTAAAATCGTGCAGGCACGAGTGATTTAAGATTAGAACGGGACAATCTCGTACTGGCGACAAGCCCAAATGGAATGCCTATAGTGGCGTTAGATCTAGGGGAGGACACCGGGTGTCAATCTATGTATATGATCCCACAGCTTGCACCGGTAAGTAATAAGTCATGCACAAGCTCAAACTAGCAGGACATGTTTTAAAGCCGTGCAAGTGCCAATAAGGTATGATGAAAGCGGATAATTTCGTGCTACAGCACACCTACGAGGTCAAGTTGCCTACACTCGCTAATTTCGAACTAGCCAATTTAAATATTGATCAATGTACGGATCGAGGATGTTGATTGTCGATTGTGTCACTAATCTCACATCGCCCATGTTTACCATGTTAGGACAATGCTTCTAGCGTACTAAGTGAACTTAAAACGCGTGCATTAGAACAGATTTACCCTTCCCCATTCTTTCTTCGATTTGTTGATCAATTCCAACTACGTTGTGCTATTCTAGTTTGCAGATGAGCGTCATTAATTCATTGCACGAGAAAACAGGTGGCAAAGGGAGCGTTCCCTCGACCAACTGAACTTCCATTGTCATCGTTCGTTTTCGGCTAGAAGTACCATACCATCAAAGATTTGTCAAGAACTCAAGTGGGCAGATCATTAAACCCTGTTTGCTTGAAATGAAAGAATGATCATATAAGGATTCAATCCTTTGCACATGAATGATTGATCAATTGAGTAGCAAAAATTTGGTGCAATCTGTACCAACCTGTGGCCCTTAATGAATAATCCCCTAGCACTTGTAGTCTTGTAGACCGTACTTAAAAAGGGTGGAAGGCAATCGTGCGAAAGTTAGAGAAGCCAAGCAGCTTAGAGCGATACAGTTTTGGAACTACCCATTAATTAATTTCGTTGCACATTTATCGCTTACTTACCTATATTACTCAGCAATTCGCGCACTTCGTAATTCATTAAGACGTCGCTGCACAAAATATAAATGACTCGACGCATCGGCTATTTTTGCCGTCCGAACAACGGTATTTTACTGAATAATATACGTAAATCGGAATAGCTTCGAACGAGCACATTATCGTGACTGGAGTTTAGTACTTCGAAACCTTATCTAATGAAAAATAATTCTTTTTTAATGAAACTCGATTAGTTTATCCTAGGGTTAATACAACAAAAAACCCTAAACTGATAAATTTGTGACAAATTTACCCCAAACTAATTTTATGACCACAAAAAACTCTAAACTGGTACACCTGTGACAAAAATACTTTAAACTAATTTTTTTACAACAAAAAACCTCTTTACCCTCCGTTAAATTAAATTAATATCACAAAAAATCACAAACCGGTACAACTGTCACAAACGGAGGATAAACCCCAAATTGATCCACGTATCATCCAACTCAGAAATTTGATTGTGAAATTTAACGGAAACGAACTGATGATAAAATTGTCACATGTATACTAGTTTGGAATTTTTTACTGTTAAAAAAATTAATTTTGGGTAAATTTATCACAGGTGTACCAGTTTGGGGTTTTTGATTGTCAAAAAATTAGTTTGAGGTGAATTTATCACATGTGTACCAGTTTGGAGATTTTCCATGACATTGACCCTTTATCTTATACCACTTTTAGTTATAATTTAGGAAGGCCTGACTTAGACCCGTGAGGGGGGCATACATGTTTACCCAAATGTCTTCAATCGCGAATCATATCCAAATAAAAAGATTAACAAAAATCACAAGATCAACCAACCACGAATGCACACGCTTTCGGCCGCACGTGTGTGTGCCACCGGCGAGGCCGAGCCTCGAGCCACGTCTGCCACTGCCTCACGGTCGAAACACGTCCACTAGAAATGGCCGCGGGCCGGTTTCGGCTCGGAACCGGACCGGGTCAAACCCGGGGACTGGCCCGTTGACCGGGCCCGCAGTTCAAAACCGGCCCGGAACCGGTTCCAAAAAAAAAACTGCAGATAAGTGGAGAAACTCTTTTTTTCCCCAAATTTGATTGCAATGTACATTTTGATTACATTTTATATTGAATAATTTATTATTTCATAATTTGATAATTTTTTTTTATTTCATAATTTATTTTTTAAATTTTTAATGGCCGGTTCCGAACCGGCCCAAAACCGTCGATTTATACATGGCCACAAATCGGAACCGCCGGTTTCGAATCGTGATGATGTCGAGCGTCCATGCGCACTCTTCAGGGCGCGTGGTAGTGGAAGCCGGCGAGACGGACATCAGAAAGCGGACAAAAGAGCCGGAGCCGTACGATTCCATATTGGGGATTACAATAGAGAATCTCTGTGAGAAGAAACGACATATTACTTGACCCGATTAAAAAAAAATGGGAATTTTTGTTGGGTTCATAATTAATTAAATATCACCTCGAAACTCAAAACCATGTCGTTTTTATAATGGCAAAGCCCGCAAAGGTGTTGCGCCAATCACATGGCCATGGTTAGTAGTATAATTTAGGGCAAAAGTCACCAAAAATCCTAAACTATGCCCGTGACATATTTATTTTAAAATTTTTTTCACGATACCAAAAATCTCGAACTTGTAATTGTATCACATGTTCACCCTCCGTAAAAGTTTTGTCAATGAGAACCGTTAAAAATTCGCCTACACGGATACTAGAAAAACAAACATTGTTGGCATGGCGCCCACATAGCTTAAGCGTAATAAAAACAAGTCATTTTGGCTGAAAAATCATCTCACGAAAAGCAAATATGTCACATAGATATAAATTTGAGGTTTTTTATGTCACAAGAAAAAGTTTAGGGTAAATGTGTCACAATTGACATAATTTGGAGTTTTTGATAACGGTAAGAAATAATTCCTATCTATTTTTGAATTATTTTTTCCATTTCTTGAATTTCTTTAATAGAAAAAGAAGAGCAAACATTTTGTGTGGTTGGGGTGTTCTTGACTTTATGATTTATCGAAACTTTCAAACACTAATAAATACATCAAATCTTAGAATTTTACTGACATCTGAGGGGTAAAGTAAAGCTTCGAACTTTTTCCATATTTTCAAGAATTCAAATTATTTCTTTTTTTTTGGTTTTGTCCAGAAAATGAATGACTACTTTCGACTTGGAAGAAGTTCCCCGTACGCAGACTGTGCACGTTCATTTACACCTCTTACAGCCATTATGGCTCCTTCAACGACCATCTGCCTTCCCCATTCTTGAATTTCTCCAACTTATTGAATTTCATTTGTTGGGTGAAGCTCCAAGTCAGTCTCGGTGTGAGCCAGAGCATCGAGGGTGGGACCCAAAGTCCTCGAGGTTGAACTCCCTTTCGCTTTCGAGTCCTCCAAGCTTCAGTGTTTATAAGCAGCAAACAAGCAGCGTTTCAGCAGCAGCAGCAGCACAGGCGGAACCACACTCATTGGTCTCTGCGAGCTCTGTTAAAGTGTGAACCTCATGCTTTTTCCCTCTTTCATGCCCCATTCTCTCACATTTTTAAAACTTTCTTTTTTCCTTCTCGACAAGAAAACAAAAGAGAGAGCGGCTCAGCAACAAGAAATCCACAAGCACCCTGTTTTTCTTGTCCTTGCCCGTCACTGCTTGTGCTTCCTTCTCTGGTCAAGAATAGAATAAAGTGGGCGCAAGCAAGAATAAGAGGAAAAGGCACTTTTTTTGAGACAAGGGTCTTCCTCTTTTTGATCCGTTGGACATGAGTTTGAGGGCGGCGAATGTAATGTGGAATGTGGTTGTGGTGGTACTGGCTTTATGGGTTTTTTGTGCTTCTGTGAGAGCCTCTGTGTCTTATGATGCTAAGGCCATTACAATTAATGGGCAGAGAAGGATCCTCATTTCTGGGTCCATTCACTACCCCAGAAGCACTCCTGAGGTAGCTTCTTTTTTCTCCCTTTATTCCTTATTTTTTTGGGGTTAAATGTATCTCCATTTTCTGTAGATTGATCTTTCCCCCCCACTTTTCACTATCGTGCTGTAAATGGGCTTCTCTATATTGAGCTTTTTGTCACTATAGCATCTTTTTTCTTATCTTAGCAAAAGCTGCTTTAATTTAAAAAGAAGGTTCTCTTTTGCCGGTCAGCTTAAGCTGTTGTTTCTGGTAAATTTTTGGCCTTCAACTTTACTTGGTTGCAGATGTGGCCGGATCTCATTCAGAAGGCAAAAGAAGGAGGTTTGGATGTCGTTCAGACTTATGTTTTCTGGAATGGCCATGAGCCTTCACCTGGCAAAGTAACAGAACTAGTCAATTATTTTTCTTTTCATATCTGGGTTGGTTATAGAAGGAAAAAAGGTCTAATCTTGATTAAATTTGCTTTATTTTGCTTCAGTACAACTTTGAGGGAAACTATGATCTCGTGAAATTTGTCAAGCTCGTGCAACAAGCAGGCCTTTACGTTCATCTTAGAGTTGGACCTTATGTCTGTGCTGAGTGGAATTTCGGGTAATATGCATGATTCATTCTAGTCATAGAAATAGAAGAAAATTTCTATTTTCATGTGAGGTTTTTGTCAAGTCCTTTTTTGAACTTGTTTCTGCTTCCAGTGGGTTCCCTGTTTGGCTGAAATACGTCCGTGGTATTAACTTCAGAACAGATAATGGACCATTCAAGGTTAAACAATTTTTATTATCTTCATATTTCTTGCTCTTAAACATGAACTTCTATATATTTACTGAATTTTTTCTTGCCATCTTGAAGTATTACATGCAAAAGTTCACAACAAAGATTGTCAACATGATGAAAGCAGAACGGTTGTTTGAGTCGCAGGGCGGACCGATAATCTTGTCCCAGGTTCATAATTCACTGTTCCAATGACATTGCTTTGTTAATTTTTGGATGAAACAATTTACTGAGATATCTTTTTTGGGCGATGTCTGAGTGTTATTGTCTGTGATTCAGATCGAGAATGAATATGGACCCATGGAGTACGAAATTGGTGCACCTGGTCGAGCTTACACCAAATGGGCAGCCGAAATGGCAGTGGGTCTAGGCACTGGTGTCCCGTGGGTCATGTGCAAGCAAGATGATGCCCCTGATCCTATTGTGAGCACCCTCTTGAAGTTCTCAGTTCTAGAAGCATTAATGTTTCCAAGCTTATTGTCGAGATAGATGTTTCTCATGACACAATCCCTCATCCTTTGGTGGGGTTGCAACAACACAGAATGTTGTCTCCAGACAACTCATGGCTGCTTTTAATAATTAGTTCACATTGCACATGGCTCACTTTTGCACTTTCTAAAATCAGATTTTTGCACTATACAGTTTGAACTTCCTTTATCCTAGTGTCTTATCATAATGTAAGCAGGACCCATGTCGCTGTTAAGTATTCCTAATAGTTCAAATTTCAGTTTCAGTAATGTCAGTAACAAGAAAATACTTGTTTTATCTGATCGGAAACATAAAAGGAAATGATCTCCGTAATATTCAATTGGCTCAAAACACAGGTCTAAGTTGTGCTTTCCAGAGATGGTCAATCAGTGGATGGATTTCTGTTGTTTCAGTTAGTGTCATGTCTGTTTGGGTAATGCTTGCATCTCATTGTTTGCAATAGATCAACACTTGCAACGGCTTCTACTGTGACTATTTTTCTCCCAACAAGGCTTATAAGCCCAAGATGTGGACAGAAGCATGGACAGGCTGGTAAATTCTTATATTCTTTCTTGAAGTTCAATGATTTGCAAGTCTTACCAGTCATGATGTTTGCTTTTTGTGATTCCTCTGTTTGCCTTTGATGCAGGTACACAGAGTTTGGAGGTCCAGTTCCTAACCGTCCAGTTGAAGATCTGGCCTTCTCAGTTGCGAGATTTATACAGAAAGGTGGAGCGTTCATCAACTACTATATGGTAATACGACAGCTTCTTCAAATTCATAAATGGAGTTAGTTTTGTTCGAACCAAACTGAGGCACTCTTTGCAATATCAGTACCATGGAGGAACAAATTTTGGCCGAACTGCTGGTGGTCCATTCATTGCTACTACCTATGACTATGATGCTCCCCTCGATGAATACGGTATGTGGTTTCTGTCATATGAGCAGTATTGATCAACCACTGAATATTAGGTTCATTCTTGTTATTAGTAGAAGGAAGCTTCCTGCCTCAAGTTCACATCTCTGTCGTCAGGAGTTTAAATGGTTGACCTAGTTAAAGTGGCACATCATTGAGTACTAAGTATTATTGTCGTGTGTTAAGACTGATAAAGACTCGATGGTGACTCTTTGACGGAATTTTGGTGATGACCTTCTCGACATACTAGGTTCATGTCGTCACTCGATTACTGACACTTCAAATGTGAAAGCTTTGTCCCGGAAATTGATTGTCACTTCCTTTGGCCTTGTGCTCTCGAACTTCTGTAATATTCTACACTACTTTGTCGCATTAACATTGCTTTCCTCTGCATAAAGTGTTGTCGTTACTTGGAATAAACCTGTCTTATTGTACAGACCATTGCGCAGGTCCACCCTGAATAATAACATACATTTTTATGATAGAAAAGAATGAACTTACCTTTGGCAATTAACCTATCAATCCGTCTATGTACTTTTTTTTACCAGAACTTACCCAGAAAAGAAAAGGAAAATCACAGCTTGCAATAAAATATACCGTGCCATCTTCATTTCATTATTTTGCTGACGTTTTACAAATGACAGAACAAGATTGATAACATCAGTGAATTTATAAGTTTATGTGAATGAGAGGATCTCTTCCTTCTTCTCTTTCCAGGATTATTGAGGCAACCCAAATGGGGCCATCTAAAAGATTTGCACAGAGCGATAAAGCTTTGTGAACCAGCTTTAGTATCTGGCAATCCTACTGTGACGAAACTTGGGAACTATGAAGAGGTTAGCTTCAGTTTTGACCATTATTCAATCTCCGATTGGATTGAATTTGAGCTAGTGAGTTCATGACCCTCTCTACTTAAATGCAGGCTCATGTATTCAGATCAAGGTCCGGGGCATGTGCTGCATTCCTTACGAATTACCATTCAAATGCTTTTGCAAAAGTTTCTTGGGGGAATATGCATTATAACCTTCCTCCTTGGTCCATCAGCATATTACCTGACTGCAAGAACACTGTATATAACACCGCTAGGGTGAGTTACAGGACCACTTTAATTTATTTTCGACTCTGTAGATTTCAGAATGATTGTCATATTGACATCCTCAAGACATGGTAAGCGATGACCCTATATAATTGCGTTGTTCCAGTCTTTTATATTTCCATCTGTCACATCATTGCATAATTAGCACGCGGTGGAGTTGCACTTTATCCTATGTTTTTGTCTTCAGCTACAGTCACTGGTATGAGCACCAAAATTCTCGTAAAATTAGTATCTTGCAATGGCGAAACTGAATACATGTTGAAATTGCTGTGCAGGTTGGTGCGCAGAGTGCACGGATGAAGATGACTCCTGTTCCTATTCATGGAGGCTTCTCTTGGCAGGCATACAATGAAGAGCCCGCTGGATACGAAGACAATTCATTTACAATGGCCGGGTTGTTAGAGCAGATAAATACTACAAGAGATAACTCTGATTATCTGTGGTACATGACAGAGTAAGTGAGGAATAACCAACTTTTAAAGGGAAGAAACGGAGCAACAAGTTGTGCTCATTGAAGTTCACTTCACATTGAAGTAATGCTCCATCCTGAAGATTTCTGTCTTCTGTTTTTTCATCTCTTTCCAGTGTAAACATTAATTCCAAGGAAGGGTTCTTAAGAAGCGGTAAATATCCAACTCTTACTGTCCAATCAGCTGGTCATGCCTTGCATGTTTTTGTCAACGGCCAACCCTCAGGTGCGGAGCACTTCTTATCTTTACTGTATATCTGCCCTATCTATCAGTTAGTTGTATCACTCTCGTGCCCTGTTCAAAAACATTTTGTGGATAGGAAATCTAAAAGAGCTCATCGTGAATAGCCATGCAATTTCAACTTGAAAAGTTCCAAACTTTAACAGTCGCACACTGCAAGGAGAGCAGGCTCATCATCCTTTTGTTTGTGATGTCAACTAAATTGGGAAAAGAAGGTCTGAGTAAGAAGAAGAGTGCCAAAGTGAAAACTAAAATCAGACAACATATTGCCCTTTATCAATGCATCCAGTCTTTTCCTTATATGTGTGCATAGGTAGTGTAGTCAGAGGATAGTTTCTGTCTTCTAACTTTAGACGTCATTTTCACGCAGGAACTGCATATGGAAGTCTGGAATTTCCGAAACTTACTTTCAACCAAGGTGTCAAGCTGAGAGCTGGTACAAATAGAATTGCGTTGTTAAGTATTGCCGTTGGGCTACCGGTGGGCATTCTTCCTGCTTTTCTTGCGTCTACATCAACCTCAATATGTTTTTGACTTGTGGACTTAATTTATTATGCTTCTCTGTTTTTTTTTTTACTCTCACCAGAATGTAGGTCCGCATTTTGAGAGATATAATGCGGGTGTCCTTGGTCCTGTTACATTGTACGGTCTTGACGAAGGGAAGAGGGACTTGTCATGGCAGAAATGGTCTTATAAGGTTTGTCTTTGACATCCCTCCATTTCTTCTTTTGTCGTTTTGAAATGCAAAAAGTTGTCTAAATGTACTGTTTTTTCTGGTATAGGTCGGTCTTAAAGGAGAAGCCTTGAGCCTTCATTCTCTCACTGGGAGTTCCTCAGTTGAATGGGCTGAGGGATCTTTAGTGGCACGGAAGCAGCCACTGACATGGTACAAAGTAAGTTTCTTGACATAAAGCCAGTGCAAAACCATCTATACTTTTTGTATCAGAGCAGTGAATTCCGCAGAAGCTTTGAATGTTGTTCATTCTGATAAAAATGCTATAAACTTTAACGTCAATTAACAGACTAACATCCTCATATTATGTTCCAGACTATTTTCAGTGCTCCCGCTGGTAATGCTCCACTAGCTCTGGATATGAATAGCATGGGCAAAGGTCAAATTTGGATTAATGGACAGAGCATTGGGCGGTACTGGCCTGCGTATAAAGCATCCGGTAATTGTGGCGGTTGTAACTATGCGGGGACCTACGGCGAGAAGAAATGTCTAAGCAATTGTGGTGAAGCTTCACAGAGATGGTGAGAGGAATGATGTAACTCATTTCAATCTCTTTCTATAAGCAGCCTCAACAGAAAATTTTCAACTGAGTTGTCACTAAAAATTTCAGGTATCATGTTCCTCATTCGTGGCTAAATCCAACGGGGAACTTGTTAGTTGTTTTTGAAGAATGGGGCGGGGACCCGAATGGAATTTCCTTGGTTAGGAGAGATGTTGATAGCGTGTGTGCTGATATTTACGAGTGGCAGCCAACTCTTATGAACTATCAAATGCAAGCATCTGGAAAAGTCAACAAGCCGCTGAGGCCTAAAGCCCATTTATCGTGCTCACCGGGACACAAAATCTCATCAATCAAGTTTGCCAGCTTTGGAACACCAGAAGGCGTTTGTGGAAGCTTCCGCGAGGGAAGTTGCCATGCCTTCCACTCGTATGATGTATTCCAAAATGTATGCAACAATTGCACATTCTTGAGTTCCTTCTTTCCCGGTTTTGCTACATTTTCATACATACTTTTGGGCTTTATTGACCATGAGTACTGCTTCTTTCTCAGACTTGTGTCGGACAAAACTCGTGCACAGTTCCTGTCACTCCTGAGATATTCGGCGGAGATCCGTGCCCGAGCATCATGAAGAAACTGTCTGTCGAGGCAATTTGTTCCTGATCCGTGCCGGAATGGAGGTTCTGCATTCTGGCAAATTAAGTTCGACATGTCCATAATCCCTAGAACTATCTGTCTCGGCTTTGCAAGGTGAAGTTGTGCAAATACACGACAACACGCTCAGTGAAAAGCCCTGCCAAGATTCCTGGAGATGATTGCTATGAGCTTTATCTGTTTGTACATATTCAGTTTCTCTTAGCTTTGTTTCCCTGCAAGTTATACAGAAGTGAGAGATAGCACATTGAGACCACAATCAATTGAGTCCATGCGCTTTCTGGTTTATTTTTTAAAGGATGGAAGCCTCTGGCTTCCAACTTTGCTTTTTAATATATTTGCCTTGGATTTGACTTCCTGGAAGCAAAATTTGTGACAAATTTTAATCATGTGATGCACATTATGTAGTCCAAAACCGTGTTGAGTTCATTTCTGGGGCCTTATCTTAATGAATTCGTTCTCTAGTTCGGTGCTTGTATCTTCATTTGAGTGATAACTCGTCTGTTTATTTTTACCTGGCTCCTACTTGCCATGTTTGTTCATGTATATAATAAAGCCAGCAAACCGGCATGTACTGGCATGAGACCATTTGTTTCGACAGCTCAGGAAGTTCTCATTCTAAGAAAAAGGGAAAAAGAACACCTTGATGACCCTTGAGCTTAGCGATACATCGCCCGCATTAATGCCAAACGCCGAAGAGGAAATCAAAGGAAGTGAGCTGTGTACCCAAGAGCTGAAAGTACCTGCAGCACCAGAAGCAAAGATTCTGCCGAAGGAGAAGAAGAGCATGGAAATAGTTCATTGACTTTGATGATGAACCAGGCCTAGAAGAAATCTTATCAAAAGCCCATGCAAAACGTGGGCTCAGTCTCACCAATCGATGACTCTTTGCGTAAATGACGCCCTTATGCAATAGCCCCACTTAAGCATCATTTTCATCAATGACCATTTCAAATCTCTCTCTCTAGAAGACTGTTATATGATACCTTCTTTTAATAATCTCTCAGCCAATTGTCTCTTGGATCTCTCTCTGAGATATGCAAGGACCCTTGGGTCGTGGATGTCTCTATCAGTGGACGGATGTGTGTCTAATTGGGGGAGTGATGGGATTGCGTTGGGTGGTCTATTTCTAACATACTTTGACGCCCGCTATATCATCTTCTTTTCCCTGAAAGGTGGGGTAGGTCAAGATGCTAAAGACGCAGGCTGAGATGAGGAATGAGTAGGTCAAGGTCAAGACCCTCGTGAATTTCTTTCTTCTTAAGTTTGATTTTAATTCCTACTTTCGAGTTTGGAAACAATTCGAGACTTTATGTTGTTGGAAAGGAGCGAAGAAATCAAATTAGATTCCCCGATTGATTCGTTCTCTTGGGATGAGATCACGGGCAAGTAGTTCATCGCAAATCATGTGATCCAAATAAAAAGTTTTCTAAAATAGAGGTTAGGATTGTCAAGCGCAAGCACTGAGTCGTATGTCTAGTCTAAGTACAAAGTTCATTGTCACTTTGTCTTGGTCCAAATAATCACAAATTATGAAATTTGAATTTTCATAAAAATCACGACATGGTCGGTGCCAATAATTTTTTTTACTCGCACTGATGAAATTGCAAACGCACTGTGTGCACGTAAAAAAACTCGATACTTCAAAAGGGTTTTGCAAAATTTCGGTCACAAAGTAAAGATTTGCGTAATCGTCTCGTTGCGAAACGTTTCAATCAATAATTAACGGGAAAAAAAATTATTCAATTTGTCAAAAGAAAGAAAAACAATATTTCAAAATTTGAAGGGTTTTTGATGACTTTGTTTATAAGATAGAAAAAGTTCAAATTTCACCATTAAAATACGTGACAAAATATATCAAGTCATTAACTTGCACATTTATATAACAACGTTATTGCACGTGGAAGATTCTCATTACTTTATGCATTAATATAGATGACTCTTTTGGATAGTAAACATGTGCATTCAAATAGTAGTCTATCATTAAAAATATGTGCATCCATGTTATGGCCCCAATTCACCACCTCTCTATGAAAGATTTCTTTTTTGTCGGCAGTGATATAAAAACTTTTTTAGCCTTCTTATTTTGGATGGTGTTTCTATAAATATAAACGGTCATATCAATGATTGGTCAATAGGCATACGGCCTTGCTGGTAAACGAATTAGCGAGGTGGGGTAGGGACGCTAGTATCACAGGTGTGGGGTTCGACTTCCGGGCTCTGCAAGAGACAGATCAAAAAGTCTTAAAGTGAGGAAAGTTGATGATAGGGTAGACCAAAAAAAATATATATCAATGCATGTGTTGAGAGACTTATCATCTATTATTGGATTTACAATTGAGTTTTAAAATTTATAAAAAATGCATTAGAATCATTCCGTTAACTCCGTCCATTTAGACTAACAGTAAATGCCGACATAGCCTTTTTATTTTATTTTCTCTCTTTTACGTGACTTTTTTAATTATATCCTCTCTCCTACGTGGCAACCTTATCGAAACATTAAATACGAGACTAAAATAATGTCATTTTACCTCAAATCCTAATATTTAACCAAAATGTTAATTTAATTGAATTTTCTTTGAAAAAAGAACACGAAATAGAAAGATAAAAAAAAAAAGGGCAAGGGTGGCATTTTAGTCATATATTTCATGTTTTAGAAAGGTTAATGCCGCGTAGGAAAGAGAAATTAAAATAAAATAACCACTCAAAAGAGAGAAAATAATAAATAAAAAAAGTCACGTCGGCATTTTTTTGTAGAAATGTGAAAAATGGACACCCAAACCGGGAGCCGCCCGAACTGGACCGAACCAGCCGATTGGGTCCGGTTCCTAGGAGTGTTTGTCCGGTTTCCGGTTCCTAAAAGTGGAACCGGTGTCCGGCCAGTACCGAGAATCGGGCCGACTATTTATTAAAATGTGAATTGAACCCTAAGTGAACTTCATTGACATAAATTCATTGATAAAAATTAGCAAACTATGAACTAAACTATAAGTAATCGGTTCCCGATCCAATCTCCAGTTCCAATCACGATTCCCCCATCCGGTCCCCAGTTCCACCTTGGAACTAGACCGGACTAAGAACAAGATCGGACTAGGAACCGATCACTCTTAATTTTCCGGTAGCTTAATTGAACATAGTCAATGGAATGACCCGATCGCACTTCTTACAAGTTTTCAACCTCGACCTATACTTTCATAACAAGTTTCATTAACCTCTCGGGCTTCCAACGTAGACATGGCCACGGGTCGGTTTCGGCCCGAAACCGGCCCAGGTCAAACCCAAGACCGGCCCGTTGACCGGGCCTGCGGTTCGGAACAAGAACCGGCCCGTGGCCTATGGGTCCGGTTCCGGTTCCAACAATTTTGGAACCGGCCCGAAACCGGCGGTTCCGGGCCCGATTCAAAAAAAAAAAAAACTGTAGATAAGTGGAGAAACTCTTTTTTTCTCCAAATTTGATTACAATGTACATTTTGATTACATTTTATATTGAATAATTCATTATTTCATAATTTGATAATTCATTATTTTTTTTATTTCATAATTTATTTTTTTAATTTTTACCGGACGGTTCCGAACCGGGCCAGAACCGGAACCGGCCCGGAACCGCCGGTTCCGGTTCATACATGGCCACGAACCGGAACCGCCGGTTCCGAACCGTGGTCATGTATATTCCGGCGCACTCATTACTGAAATTAAAATACACAAACAAACCTCCAAACATATATTAAAATATACACACGACACCGGATGGAATAGTGGCTTCTATGAAAGGTAAAGTAGTGCCACGTTTCGTTTTCCATCTTCCTTAGACGCGCTGCCGCTGGTACTAGGAAGAAGAAAAAACAAAACCTCAGTAGCCTCCGAAAGATTTCACAGAAGCTTCAAAGAAGCAGCAGCTGCAGCATCCTTCATCCTCTTCCTCTCTCTCTCTCTCTCTACACTTCGCTTTACCTTTACCTTTGCCTCACCGTAAAGCGAACCCAAGAACCCTTCGACATCTCTCCCTCATCTCCTCCGTGAATGGCGCGCTTTGGTGGCGGCTCTGGCCTTCCACCTCGCGTTTGATCCTCCATTCTCGCCGCCGCCGCCGCCGTCTTCTTGCGACCACCCTCGCGACAAATTCATGCTGTCCCTCCTCTGCTCCGCCCTCTTCACCCTCTCCCTCCTCTCCTTCCTCTTCGTCTCCTTCTCCCTGTTCAAGAGGCTCCACGGCGGCGGCGCCCCCCGCGCCCGCGGCGCCGCGAGCCCCGGGCGCGACGGCCCGCCGACACCCATCGACGAGAACGATGAGGCCCGAGAGCGAGAGCCCGACCCAGACCCGACCCGCCTGACCCATTCCCTGCTCCTCGAGATCTTGCCCTCCTCCGATGCCGCGGGCCTGTGCAGCGACGCGGACGAGCCGGTCTCCGGCTCGGAGCAGTGTCCCGGGGGGACGGCCCAGGCCGGGAAGAGGAAGAAGAAGAGGGCCAAGAAGAAGAGCAAGAGGTCGGATGCGAGGGTCGCTGAGGAGGAGGAGCGGGAGGATAGGTCGGGTTCGGGTCGGCCCGTGTCGGAGAAGCCCGAGCTGATTTGCCTGTACCCGTTTACTTCTTCTGGCAGTGCCACGCAGAGGAGGATCAAGCAGCACTATGACGAGCTTGTCAAGTGCCATGAGTCCAAAGGATTGACCATTGCTCAGGTTTTTTTCTTTAATATTTCTTTGCATTTCGACCTTACCCATTTCTTTTTTGTTGTTTCTGTTTCTGATGCAGATATGTTTTAGGTTTTATAATGCAAGTGGTTTTGTTATCTCAATAAGCTGTTGAATGCTTCTGGGGGATTATGTACGTATTTAATTCGATTGATATTCGCGATGCTTTTGCATATCATGAAATTGGAATGCTGAATTTGGATGATGAAGCTCTCATCTGTGTCATTCACCTTCGAGTCAGGATGCATTTGGGATGCATATGCCATATTTTTGGACGACTTTTTCGGTGTGACTTTAAGTAGTTTCAACAGGTTTCCCTGGTTAATTCAGTTTATGGGATGGAGAAATGTATTAATCTTTTTTCAAATCCATTGAATTGGCAGTCTCCCTGAGCTTATGCAAGTAAAATTCTAACGTGGTGTGCATTCATATGACATTTGGCCATTACCATCGGGGTTATGAATAATTACGAATCCTGTTAAGGGAAACAAGGCACGAACGATTCCCTGATCCCTTTGCTTTTGCATGTAGGTGCGGTAGAGATGCTGCATCGTGATATCGATGCTGAATTTCTTCTGATTTAAATTATATGAACTTCTAGTTTCCAAACCTTTTGTGATTCCCTGAAAAAGCAATTGCAAGTCAATCGTTTGGAATTGGCAATCGACCTTTGTTTGTGCTATACATATCGAGTTTTTGATATGTCAATGAGAATTGGCTGGTACTAGAGATATGCTAGATGTGTTGGAAATGACTTTTTGGTTTCCCTTAATGGTTCATCACAATCCTGTACTTCTCATCTTTTGAGATGGTTCGTGTGAATTTGTTTTTCAGGGTCCTTTTGTATTTGCTTATATGTTAAGCAGACTCTGTAGATCAATCTTATTCCCTGGTCAAAAGAGTTTTTTTCACCTTCGGTTAAGAAGTTTGTACTCGTACTTATTTGGTAAAGCTTTGCACATGCCAAAATGCTCATCTTTATGTGGAAGGAATCTCAGGCTATTTGGGCTCACTTGCAATTGCTACGGAGCTTTATGTTTTGCATCTTCTACCATTTCGCAGGTCAGCCAGTTTGCTAATTGCTTGGTTGAGGCTAGGAATGAGCTACAGCACAAGTAAGTGTCACATCATCTATTAAATGCTAGCGGAAAAAAATTCATATCCTAAAATTTTATTCTTCACAACTTTGAAGGTCTATAGCTTATCTGTAAGTGAGTTCTTTTTTCAGTCTCGAGCTCTTTTTGTATGCCCTGGTTACTCCTCAATGAAATTTTGAACTTACAACTGATCCCCAAATAAAAGAGCGTTTGCCAACTTATTGTGGTGTTGGGAGTTCCGAATATCCCAGAAAATAGCGCGTAATTTGGCATTTTATGTTTGACTCATGGTTACTGTGTCTGTAAGCCCCCCTCTTCTGCCTATTTTGAGTTTTCAAAAAATATTTCAAGTAGTCTCAATCATCCTTGCCTAGAAGCTGAATGTTTGAAATTTTTGCCGTCTCATAGAATTTCTATTTCCTGGATGTACCTTTTCTTGTTAATTCGAGATCTGTGTATAGTGACAGACTTTTTAACAGTCCAACTTCGTATGCAGGTCGGAGGTTATACAGCGCAAGTTTACCATAGCAAAAGCCCTGCTTTTTAAGGCAGATAGATCCTCCTTTGAGCGACTTCGTCAGCAGGTTTGCGATGAATCCAACATGATTCTTTTAGTAGGAAGTAGATTGTATAATCTTCATGCTCATAAATTGTTTAAATCCAGATATACAAGTTAGAGTTGGAACAGAAGAGACTTGAAGAAGATGCATTTGTTTATAACTGGCTCCAACAGCAGCTCAAACTCTCGCCAGCCTACAAGAAGGTAACATTTCTGCTTTAGCAATTGTGCTACTGGTAGTAGAAATGCGAGATGCACATCTGTGATTCTGGTTGAAGCCTGTCAATTTAGAGTGAAAGCATTTATTTCGCAAATTTTTTGCCGAGACCATCTTCTTTTGAAGTATCTCGCAATAATTGGATCATAAATTACCTAAGCCTGATATGCCCCCCTCCTCTCTCTCCCTGTTTCAATCAGTTGCTTGTGTTTATCTATCGGCGCTACATCTTAATCTCTCTCTCTCTCTCTCTCTCTCTCTCTCTCTCTCTGTGTCTCTCTCTGTCTCTCTGTCTCTCTCTCTCTCTCTCTCTCTCTCTCTCTCTCTCTCTCTCTCTCTAGATGCTTGAAGTTGGTGCCTCCATGGAGTTGAAGGCTAAATCTGGTGAACTGATGGAAGCTGAAGATTCAGAAGTCCCGGATATTTCATTTGAAGAGCTATTAGCACAAGAAAAGAAAGATTCTTTTTGGTTGGTTCCTTGTCAAGTGCCTAAGCCATCTTTCCTTTCTTTTGGGGATTTTGCTAACATTTTCTCCTTCTTGACCACTTGCAGGCAGAAAACAAAGAAATCAAGATCAGGCTCAAACTAATTAAAAAGCTTCCTTTGCTAACGGAGTACAAAGACTAGCCTCTCTACTGTGTATATTCCTCGAATTCACACTTCGTCAAGGCCAAGTATGGTTTTTGATGCCATGCTTCAGGGCGTGAGGTGTGAACACTTAGCTTGGTCTGACCACCTTCAACGTTGTCATGGAGATATGGATGCGAGTCCAAGTGATTTTGGGAAAGGAGAAACATGGGTGATCTTCTGACGTTGTCGAAGCCTTTTGCTGACTAGGGGTGTTGACATTTGAATCTGAAGTCTGTCAGATTAACGAGTGATAGATCAGCTGTCGGTAGGTGATCTCAGTTTTGGTCATCACTTCTCTCTCTGAATGTTTTTTGGTTTGATTTGATCTTGCAATGTTAATGTATGCAGCAATGGAAAAGAATTTGGTTTATGGTTCTGAAATTATGAGAAAACAAAAATTTTCCTGTCTCTATGTTGGCCCAAAGACAAGCGAAACTTTGCTCAGTGGCCCTAAAGAAAAAAGAACAAGCGCAAGCTTGTTTTCGAATATATCTTGACAAAAGTACATACTTTTCCCCATTTCAAGCGGCTTTCGTGTCTCCTAGGTTAATGTCGCATTGGTGGTTCAAAACTCTTTATCAATTGTTGGGACCAAAAAGATGTTGCACACCGACAATGCCTTCATGGCTCTGTCTGATGTTAGTGTTTTGTGGTCAAAGCTGAAGGCCTTTTGGCCATTCATGGATGTCATGTGATTGTCATGGGCACAACTGATATTGTAAGGCCGACTACTTAGTGCTTTAAAGATCAAAAAACCAATACAACTACTTCGCAGATGTTCAAAATAATTAGTGCCCGATTCTGCTATTGCTGGATTAGGTTAGCGGCGTTAACCCCTTCTTTTTTAATCATCAGTGCTTTGTTGTCCTCTCTTGCTTTAGCAATATTTATTCATTTCATATGCGCGAAGAGATGCCTGGTTCATTACTTGAGCCCTAAGGATTCACTTTCTATGTACAACTTCGGAAAATACCAACCAGAAGATTCCAATCCATACTAATGGAATCTATGCAAAACCTGATCTCCAAGAGAACACCATCCAAAATCATCCTTAGCTGCGGCACATGAAATTGCACATAAACACCAGAGTTCTCGGGATTAAAGGCCAAAACGATCATTAACCATGCCTCCAACACCTCAGTTCCCAGCTCTGTCTATATAAAAGAGAGTGTGTGTGGTACGGGTCGAATCTAATCATCCAAGTCGGCCAAATGGAAGTAACCCAGGCCATTTCCACCACAGAAGGTTGCACCTATTGTAGTTTCTAAGCTTATCAACTAACTGATCTAGTTTTCACTGTCCAAAACATCAGCAAACAAAACAGATGCACTGATTAAGTATCAAGCAATCTCTTGATAATCTAATGAAGCAACCAAAACGTGCCTCAGCCATGGCCTGAAGCAATGCTGGAGAACATGTTTGTCAGACTCCATGTCCACACCGAAACAAAAACTAAACCTCAAGCAAATGCACAAAACAATCCCTAGCATCATAAAAAGGATGAAACTTGAGGATGATGAGCTCCTTTTTACACAAAACAATCGAACACGATTAACTTGCTTCCCACTTCGAGTTAGTCATCACCCTTGCAGATCTTTCTTCTTTCTACGAGTAGTTCAAGAGGTGCAAGAGAGAATGTGAGACTTGAATTTATCCAGCTCAGCCAGAACTTCTTCCTCGGGTCTGTAGATCAAATCGATCATCCGCCATATCTGCAGTAAACAATTTGGACCCAATCAAATATACAATAGTTCGAGATAACTTATTGGTAATGCAGAGCATATATCCAAATAGAAAGGCTAAATCAATGCTAGCTGTCAGCATAAAAGTCAACAAAATATACCCTTATTTCAGAACAAATTTCCAACCACCACAAGCACAAGAGTGTATCATGAAGTCGTGATGGCGAAATATGAATGAAGCTGCCAACATGCATTTAAGGGTAAAACCGATGGTATTTTTTTTTTTTTGGTCGAAATAAAACCAATGGTTTGCATAAATGTGAAAGGTGTGAAAGTAAAACTACCTGCAGTGTACCACCTCCACCAGTACTTTCACCATCATCAGAAACACTAACAATTGTCCAGGGATCGGAAGAATTCCAATGGAAGTCAACAACCTTGTCCCTATAAACAATGAGAACATCAATTAAAGGTCAAAGTTGGAAGAACTATTGATCAACCTAAGAGAAGTAAGCAAATTTGGAACCTGTGCCCAGCATGACGGAAGAATAACCCAGGAGGAGAATTAGGTACTTTTGAACCCACAGTCTCTAGCTTTTTACCTATCTGGAAAACCACAAAAGATTTATCGACAAATAACACAAGAAATATGTAGGAAGTAAGTATTGCTAATAACGTCAATTCATGAAAACAGCAGATAACTTCAGCATTAAGGTTTCGCTGTGTGATGAAAACACTAAATCTCTTTTTTACCATTGCATTCTATCCAGTACCATATCTCTTCCCTGTAAACTATCTTATCTCAATGAATAAGTACTAAAAGTAGCAGACTAACAACTGCTAAGAAAAGTTCTCACTAAACTTATCGTATGAAGAACGATCAAAAGGACCAGGTGAAGTTATCTGAATAGCACCTTATAAAAAGATTAAGGTAAATGTAACAATATTGTAGCTGCTATACTCTGTTTGATGTGCCAAATATACACATGTCATACACCAAAGTTTTAGAAGGTAGAATACAATTGGTCATACCAAGTTACCAACCTGCTCTTGCATACAGTTAGTGAAAGTAACTGATGTAAGTTAATCCTATTATCCATTTTCAGATGAATGTGGATGCAAATAGTGCTCTTAAGGAGGATATCACAAATACCTAGGTCAGCGACTCATTTCCCGGATAAACTCCCCTTTCTGTTTTCTTTTTTTCTTTAGATAAATTATTGAATATTAAAGAGCACCAAGAGGTGCCTCCCATTTACAACCTAGAAGTTAGAAAGATATAAGATTAATTGTAGACAGAACCAACTGTAGAGAGCTACCGCCATAATGCCAGAAAGGGAAAGCAGAAGTATCATTCTGCCTTCTGTTACCATAATACTCCTATAAAACAAAAATATTACAGAGAGACAAGAGAGATGCACTATCATTCAGGATACTCAACAGCTTCTCACCTTTTCATGATCCCAGATATTTAAAATGCCATCCTCAGCGGAACTTCCAAAGACAGATGACTTGTCAGGAGACCACTGGAAACAAATAAATAGTCTAAGTCATGATGATTTTTCTCTAAACTTGAAAAGAAAGGTGAGGAGATCCTGTTCCAAAATTAAGAAACCAATGATTTTTGAAGTGACTTTTCTATGTTAGAGATTATGGAAGCCAGCAGCAGACCTGTACACAGAGCACGGCAGCATTGTGACCCTCAAAAGTATGGACGGGCGATCCAACTCCCCCAGAAGTGAGGTTTCGTCGGTCAAACATGCGAACTGTATTATCAGCTGACCTGAAGAGGGGGGGAGAGGGAAGAACCAATAGCCAAGGTTCAATAAAAACTAGACTTAAGGTCAAACGGCTAGCAGGATATGAGCTTCTGTAGAAACAATTCGTAATAAATTATTGCAAAAATTCTGCATAATTCCAGTACCCGGTTAGAATCAGGTTTACATCATGAGGATTCCAATCAACACAATGAAGATCGGCATGATGAGCTTTCTCAACCTGTGAATTAGACAACCATAAGTCCACTGAGTAAAGTAATGCAAACCATAATCAAAACCAAAGACTTCAAAGGAATCAACATTTAGGTATCAATAAATAATTAGGAAGAACGCTGGACTCGAGTAATCTGCTAGTTGAGCTCAAGTAGCTACAGGTAGTTTGACTTGCTTACAACCCTAACCTTGATAGCTGGAGAAGAGCCAGTTCTTGCATCCCATAGTATGAGACAAGAATCATCCCCCACACTACAGAACTCCTGTGCACTGCAACAAATGCAGAAAACATAATAAAGATTCAAGCGTGAACTGCCAGTTATAAATGACCAAAATTTGCAATTCTCTTTCATCGCTGCCTTCTTAAGACGTAAGTATTGATAATACTGATGGGAAAGCACCTATATTACTGACGAAAGTGTACGTGAATCATATTGCATTCAATGAACGACGTCTGACTTTATAGTGAATTACCTCGATGGGCAGAAAGTCACATCCTCAACAGTGTCCCCATGCCCCAGGTAGACTCCACGAGGTTCAATTGAAGGGCTGTCCACAGGCTTATCATTGCCACCAGCAGCCTTAGAAGACTGCTTATTGTTGGTGCCAGCAGACCCAGGAGACTTTGCAGACCCAGGATCTGCAGCCAAAGTGGAGATATGATCTTGAATGCTCCATAAAACTACATATCTGTCTTTACCTGCCACAAAACCAACAAGAGAGACCTTATAAGAAATTCAAAACCTCTAAGGAGAACAACCATCAACGATTCCAGAGCGACACAGCATAATTGGTTATGGTGGAATATGCATCATGGCTCAATTTATTGTTGAAAGAGAGATGCGCCCCTAATGAATCAACTCAAACTAACAGTGAATGATGGTCAAATAGAGGAATCGATTTTTTGACAAACTTTCGTCCACTTATAACTGACGGGCCACCTTCAAGACAGTACAATGCCCAGTGAAATTTCAGCTTATTTATTCACTGACAATGCACATCAGTCACACTCGAGTGAATCACTTGCAATCTAGAATCTACATATATCTTAATACAATGTGAAAGCCCCATCTCCATAGCCCAAGAAGCTACTTAACTCGGCTACATATGGAGCAATCTGTCATTACAACTTAGAGATAAACAAATGAGCCCCATAAATTGCGCATGTGGTCATTTTTCAGCTCTAAGTGAATCAATAACATTGAAGCTCGTATCTCTAGCTAGTTCTGGCATCATTGTCTAACATCACCAGTCTGACAATCTGATTATTATTCTTCATTCCATGAGGAACAAACAAATTGAGTCTGTTTAACCCTGACATGGTACCATTGTACTAAGACATGTTATATCTTCACACTCAAAATAATTGAACCTGCTGCAAGGTATACACAGCCAGAAAAATAATCAAGGGTTCACCAAGAAACATAGCTAGAGCTAGAGAAAGAATGATTTGTTCAGTTGGGGACATATTGAGACATCATAAAGCTGAAAGGAAAAAGGAATTTGTCAATCACAACTACTAACCTCCAGAAAGAACGAACGGTTCAGTTGGGGACATTGCAAGAGCAAACTCAGCATTATCTTTATGCCCGGTGAGTATCTGCAGAACAAATTGTCACTGGTCTTAGATTAATTAATAGGAAACAAACAATTTCCTGAGACAATATACCAATGGATTGACAAGAAAACAATTCCAAATAATTATGATCAACACTGTTATTCACTGGCCATGTTC